CGGACTGGTAGAACCATGATGAGCTCCACCATCAAATCCCTGGTTGCAATCATCAGTGATCTACTGAAGGATGCTGAAAAATGGCTCCCTGTAAATGAAGTCCGCAGATTGCAAGACCTGCTCAGGAGAAGACCATTAACCCAGGAGGAAGTTGATGAAGCCAAAGAAGCTGAAGCTGCAAAGAGGAACCCTTGGGACAGGAGACCTCCACAATGAAAAGGAGAAACCCTCCTATTTATCTTAGCTTAGTTTGTTTTCAATTCTGTTTTTAATTTAGTTTCTTTTTGTTCCCTTGTAATTAATCTTTTTTTGAAATAGAAAAGACTTTTTTTTATCAAACTGTTTGGTATATGCATGCATTTCAGTTGTAGTATTAAGACTGCCCAATTGTTTTGGATTAACTAACATACATGAAACACAAAGTCACTGACTAATCATGCTTGTTCTTTCTTTGAGTACTTGAAATAGAAACGGTGCAGAGAATTTAATCCTCAGATTTTTGAAAGAAGCTGATCTGTGTGAACTCAAACTGGTAAGGAACGGAAAAATGCCAAACACCTACTTCTGAGAGCATTCCTGAGGTGTAACCACAATGAAACTTCTCAGCTTGCCTTAATGCTGTAAGTACTGCTGAAGAAAGATGAATTTTGCTGTCAAGGATCAAAACAGAATCACACACTCACCTCACCTCCATCATACACCATTTGGTCAATCAGAAAGAACAAGGAACGTACTCAACATGAACAAAAAAGGACAGAAGAAAAAAAAAGGGAACAACCATTCAAAAGAATTCAAGAAAAACCAGAAAACCTTCCTCCAAAGGGAGAAAAAGGTTCAAGAAAAGGTGTTCCCTCAAAACAGAAAAAGTTCAAGTTCAAAGGCACAAAAGCTAAACGTTCCTTGATCCCACAAATCAGACCACCACTTCCACATTTCCATACACTTACCCATCAAAGAATCCTTGGAACGGAAGACAGCTGTACTTCATAGGAACACAGCAGAAAGGCAAGTTCTAAAGAATCACATCCAGGAATGGACAGAGCAAACACCAACAGTTTTACTATAGAGAGTAGTTCATTTTTCTGAAAAGTTCATGGTTGCTCACTGGCTCAAGTTCCTTTCTGTTATGCCATTCTTTTAAATTGGGCAGACCAATACAATATTTCTGAGTTGTTTGAGGACAACCAACAGTTTAGTTTTGGGGTGTTTGATGGGACGTAAATTCGTTCCCATCTAAACCCATTTTGATGGCAAAATACCATATGTTCCCTCATCTGATGAGCAACTTCAGCGTGAAAATCACTTGTTTTACACATTTGTGACAAAAACACAGTGGGGGAACAGATGGTAACGTATTCCTTAAAAATACATTAAAAGGGGAACGGACTGAGACACATTTAATGCACCTGCTCCATTCATTTAATGCTTCTGTACACTTGCAGGTAACGTAGAGTTAAAGACTTCTAAAAAGCAAGGCGGTGCACCAACTGAGCAGCTGGAAACGTGAAGAGCAGAGAATCAAGAGTTCTCATTGGCTGAAAACAAAAGCAAAGCATGAGAAGGTCTGCAAACAACGACTAATCATCACCAAATCCTGTTCCATTCAGCAATTCACGCAAGCTTCACACTCTGCTGCCACAGTCCCGTCCCCTCATTCAAGCAACTAGCTCTAAAGGAATTACAGTCTTGCCACTCCTCTTCCAGCTATAAATAGGACCACCCTCACACAAAAACATCATCGAATCCTGGAGGGTTTGCAGTCCGAAAGGAAGAGATCACTTAGTAGTAGTTAGTAACTTAGTTTAATTTTAAGTTGTAACCGTAGTTAAGTGACAACCCCTCTTCTCTTCTCTGTAAACAACCATCAAGACTCCTCACGAGCAAATACCCATCTTTCTCCATTTTCTGTTTCTTTTTATAAACTGTCTTTTAAATTAATATAAGTGTTTTTCTCTTCGTTCCAATCGTTATCTCTTGACTGAATCTCGGGTCTATGTGATCTCAGTTAAGAATAATTATGTTTAAACTATCAGCCATGAGCTGAACTATCTGTGGAACGGGTAAACTGTGAAACTTTTAAAGAACTGTTTTCAAAACTCTTGACCGAAGCTTTTTGTATTTCTTTGGCTAAGTAAGCTATATTCATTGTGCGCCAATGGAAATTGGGTACATACTGAGGAAGGAACTTCCATAAGGAAGCGATTTCAGATAGCTTAGCCATTGGGGGAAGGTAGATGTCATGGTAAAAACGCTACTGGTCACCTTAAGAATAAGGGGCCAACTCGTCCATTTTAAGGTTCTGAACTAAGTACCTGTTGGAGTCAAGGGAGCCATAGAAATATGGAAACTTGTGAGCCATCTAGACCATGAGCTGAGGAATCACAGTTGGCAGGCAAAGAAACTGGGACAAAGCCAAAAGGTGCTAAAACTTGAGCAGAGAAAACAGCCCCTTTAAGAGTGAAGCAATGAATATGTTCCTTCTGTTAAACTGTTTTAACCACCCTGTTGTCTCTTGATTATAGTTATTTCTCTTTTAGTAGTTTTTATTTTATTTTATTTAGTACTTATAAAAACTCCAGTGATTATTATCTCACCATCTTCTAAACAAGAAGGATCACATACATAACGCAGCGAGCAACTGTTTGCCATCAGATTGAACCTACTGTTCCAGAGGAACGTTGTCAAGACAGTAGGGAACGTTTGACCAGACAGTTCATTTACTAACTTTTCTTCTCATTTTCATTCTTTATAAACAGTGTCAAAACAATAATTAGCACTCTATCCTCGTGGGAACGATAATTTGGGCATTAATACTCGCTTTATCACTTGATGCATGCACTTGCGCACTTGGGTTGGAACTAAGGTACGAATCTGTGTTCTGCAAGAACAGAGGAACGTCCCCTATCAGAACTTATATTTTTCCACCATCAGCAAACCACCCAACAAGGGACAATAACGATTGAGATGATGAAACTTTAATTTTAGAAGGGAAAGTAATGTACCTTGTTGTCTTCAACAGAATGAATGGATGCTTATATAATCAAAAGTATAGAGAGGGAGAGGGGTTGAGAGTGAAAATGGTGAGAGTGAAAATATTGTGTGTAGGGGAAAATGGGGAAGGAAGGAGATTATAAAACTTCCTGGGCCGTGCAAGCGCGCTCGAGCGGCCGATGAAGCGCTCGAGCGTGCTACTCGAAAATTATTTTTCCCTCTACTCGTGCGCCTGAGCGCTCTTATGTGTGCTTCATGGCAGAGATCTACACCTGTGAACTTGAACTTGCACGCTTGAGCGGCCAATGGGGCGCTTGAGCATGCTAATTGTCAACAATTTCTAGTTTTCCCTGTTGGGACGCGCTCGAGCAGCCACTTGGGCGCTCGAGCGCTCCCCTCGATCCATAATTTTTTCAACTATCTAAATTTTTTGTATTTTCTCAATAATTTAAATTTAAAGAAATTAGAAAACAATAACTCCAGGGTTGCCTCCCTATTAGCGCTTGTTTTACGTCACGAGCTTGATGTACCTGACTCATTTTACCTCTACAAGGGAAATCGTTGTTGTTCCCCTGTCAATTTCTCCTCCCATGTATAACTTCAGTGTTGGCCATTGACTGTGAAGCTTCTGTCGGAGACCAGCGGATTGATCTCCACTGCTCCATATGATTTCTTGTTCTTCACGACAAACGGTCCTGACCACCTGGATTTTAACTTTCCAGGAAAGAGACAGAGGCGAGAGTTGAAGAGTAATACCTGATTTCCTACCTTGAAGTCTCTAGGCAGGATCTTCTTATCGTGCCACTTCTTCGTCTTCTTTTTGTACAGGCTTGGACTCTTGTATGCAGAGAGTCTGAATTCATCGAGCTCATCCAGTTGAAGTAGCCTCTTTTCAGCTGCGGTCTTGGAGTCGAAGTTCAGGTACTTTATTGCCCATAGTGCTTTGTGTTCCAAATCCACTGGTAAGTGACATGCTTTTTCGAATAATAACTGGCAAGAGGACATTCCTATTGGTGTTTAAAGGCAGTCCGGTATGCCCATAGTGCATAATCCATCTTATTGGACCAATCTTTTATGGAACTTCCCACTGTCTTCTCCAATATTCGTTTCAGCTCCCGGTTGGATATCTCCACTTGACCACTTGTTTGCAGATGATATGGTGTTGCAATTTTATGTTTCACTCTGCATTTAGCCAGTACATATTCAACTTGCCTGTTGTCAAAGTGTGTTCCTCCGTCACTTATGATTGCTCGCGGTACTCCATATCAGACGAATATATTTCTTTTTAAGAACACGATGACCACCCGAGCATCATCAGTAGGAAGAGAAACAGCCTCGACCCACTTGGAGACGTAATCAACCGCAACAAGGATGTATTTGTTGCCATATGAGGGAGGAAAGGGTCCCATGAAGTCTATTTCCCATACATCAAAGATTTCAACCTCCAATATGTTGTTGAGGGGCATTTCATGTCTTCTAGAGATATTCCCCGTTCTCTGACATCTATCACATGATTCCATGAACTTCCTCTCATATTTGTAGTGTGTTGGCCAATAGAAGCCACTCATCAGTACCTTTGCGGCTATTTTTTCTTCTGCAAAGTGTCCACCGTAACTTGAACCATGGCAATGCCACAGAATATCTTTCATCTCTTCTTCTGGAATACACCGCCTTATTACTCCATCAGCACATCTATAGAAAAGGAAGGGCTCATCCCATAGGTATTTCTTGACATCGTGTAAAAACTTCTTTCTTTGTTGCCATGTGAAGTCTACTGGAATTTCTCCTGCTGCTTTAAAGTTTGTGAAATCTGCAAACCATGGAGGTGTACTTGTGCTTTTCACTTCCTCCATTTTCAGGTCCAAGATGACATTGATCGCCAGAATTTGCTCATCAAGGAATTCTTCTCTGATCTTCAGCTCAAGTCTGTCTTGAAGATCTTTTTCTTGAATTCTAGAGAGGTGATCAGCCACCAAGTTCTCCACACCTTTCTTGTCTCTGATCTCTACTTAAAATTCTTGAAGAAGTAGCATCCATTTGAGCAGTCTTGGTTTTGCATCCTGCTTATTCAACAGATACTTTAAAGCAGCATGATTAGTGTAAACAATTACTTTAGACCCCAGCAAATATGGTCTAAATTTATCAAAAGCATATACAACTGCTAATAACTCTTTTTCAGTGGTTGCATAATTCATTTGTGCATCATTTAGAATTTTACTAGCAAAATAAATCACATGCAACCATTTATTCTTTCTTTGTCCTAAGACAGCTCCTATAGCATAATCACTAGCATCACACATTAATTCAAAAGGTAGTGTGAAATCAGGTGCAGTGATTATAGGTGCAGTGGTCAATCGATCTTTTAAAATATTAAATGCTAACAAACATTCATAAGTGAATTTGAATTCCTCATCCTTGACCAACAGCTTGCATAGTGGCTTTGCTATCTTGGAAAAATCCTTTATAAAGCGTCTGTAAAAACATGTATGACCGAGAAAACTTCGAATACCTTTAACATTAGAGGGAGGGGGAAGTTTCTCAATAACAGATATCTTAGCTCCATCAACTTCTATACTATCTTTGGACACTTAATGTCCTAAAACTATGCCATCTTTTACCATGAAGTGGCATTTTTCCCAATTTAAAACAAGATTACTCTCTTGACATCTTTGTAAAACACAAGATAAGTTTTCTAAACAAGTGTCAAAAGAGGGGCCAAAAACATAAAAGTCATCCATAAAGATCTCAATAGATTTTTCAATCATATCAGAAAAGATGGAAAGCATGCACCTTTGAAAAGTTGCAGGAGCGTTGCACAAGCCGAACAGCTCCTCCGGTAAGCAAAGACTCCGTAAGGGCATGTGAATGCTGTCTTCTCTTGATCTTCTGGAGCTACTGCTATTTGGTTGTAGCCCGAGTACCCATCCAGGAAGCAGTAGAAGGCATGGCCAGCTAGTCTCTCCAACATCTGGTCCAAGAAAGGAATTGGGAAGTGGTCCTTCCGACTGGCTGCATTAAGTCTTCTGTAGTCAACCCACATCCTCCACCCAGTGACTGTCCTTGTTGGAATCAACTTGTTGTTCTCATTTTTTACAACGATGACTCCACCTTTCTTGGTTACCGTTTGTACAGGACTTACCCATGCATTGTCAGATATAGGGTAAATCATCCCTGCATCTAACAGTTTAACTACCTCTTTCCTTACCACTTCTTTCATATTTGGATTCAGTTTCCTTTGCGGCTGCCTTACAGGTCTAATATCATCTTCCATTAGAATTTTATGAGTACAAAAGGAATGATTTATACCTTTCAAGTCGGAGAAGGACCATCCTATGGCAGCTTTGTGTTTCTTCAGCATCTTGAGAAGTTTTCTTTCTTCCATGGTTGACAGCTCTTTATTGATGATGACTGGATATGTGTTGTTGTCACCAAGGAAAGCATACTTCAAATTTGGAGGTAACTCCTTAAGTTCCACCTTCGGTGCTCCAAGAGGGATGTCATCTTTCTTTCTTTCTAGTTCTTCCACCACTGGTTCTTTGTCAGCTATTTCAGCTTCTTCATTGATTTGTTCTAACTCGAGTGGGGAACTCTCCTCTTTTATTGTGTCATCAACTGCTTCTTGTATTATATCAATCATAAAATAGTCTCCTCCGTCTGATGGATGTTTCATTGACTCGAAGACATCGATGGTGACTGTCTCTTCGTTCATCCCCAGCATCAGTTTTCCTTGCTCCACATCGATCATTGCTCTTGCGGTGGCTAGGAATGACCTTCCAAGCAGTAGGGGAATCTCGGAATCTTCTTCCATATTCAGAATTACAAAATCTGCAAGGAAGATAAATTTGTCAATTTTAACTAAAACATCCTCAATTACCCCATCTGGTCGTCTGATCGATCTGTCCGCTAACTGGAGAGAAACTGTAGTCGGTTTTAGTTCTTTAATTCCAAGAGCTTTGCACATGGATAGCGGCATCAGGTTTATACTTGCTCCCAGATCACATAGTGCTTTTCCTACTTCAATATTTCTTATGGCTATAGGGATACTGAAGCTGCCTGGATCTTTCAGCTTGGCAGGAAGTTTCTTCTGGATGATTGTGTTGCATTCCTCTGTTAGGGCCACTATTTCGCACTCCTTCAGCTTGCGTTTCTTTGACAAAAGGTCTTTCATAAATTTCACATAGTTCGGCATGCTTTCCGGGGCTTCTGCGAACGGAATGTTCACTTGCAGCTTCTTGAAGATATCCAAAAATTTGGTGTATTGTTGTTTCTGGATTTCTTGCTTCAACCGCTGTGGGTATGGAACTCGTGCATAGGGAGACAGATCTGCCAGTTTTGGTTGCCGGTCCAGAGCTTTCTTTTTCTCCCATTTGAAGAGCTTCTTTTCTGGACTGCTCTTTTCAGCTTCTTCTGCATCTTCTTCTTTCTCTTTTTCAGCTACATGTTCTGCTTCTTTCTTCTTCTCCACTATGGCTTTTCCACAGGTTGGATCACGTTCCCACTTCTAGTAACAATTGAATTACATTGTGCATTTGGGTTTGTATCTGCGTTACTTGGGAAGGAGCCATGGGTCCTTTCAGCAAATTGTCTTGACAGCTGACCAATTTGAGTCTCCAAGTTCCGGATCGAAGCTTCTTGATTCCGGAATGATGCTCGTGTTTCATCTCTGAAGGCATCTGCATTTTAAATGTAGTCTGATGTGGTCTTGGACAGCTGTGCAAAAGCCTTTCCCATTCTGAAGTTGTGCCTTGAGATGGAGGTTGTTGTTGCAATGGCATAGGAGGATTCAGCTGATGGGTTGATTTGTAACTAAACCTAGGATGTTGGTTAGGATTTTTCCACCCTTGATTACCATATTGGTTTCTTCCTGGATTGTTCTGGTTCTTTTGATCGTACCAGATTCAATTGGCCTCTGCTGGTGGCTTTTCAGTTGTTCTCATGTAGTCATAATCTTCAGTCGCATGAGCTTCTGCACAAATAGCACATTTTATTTGAGAATTACTAACAGAAGAAACTTGAGAAAGATTAAATTGTTAAGTAATAGCATCTAATTGTTCTTGTTGTTTCTTGTGCATTTGCAACATTTGTTCATTTTAGGCTAAGATTGCATCATAGCCGTCGAGCTTCATAATTCCTGCTCTCCTTTGTGCAACTGGGGCATTGTCAAATTCTTGAGAAGCTAAGAATTCCGACAATTCTAGCGTTTCCTCTAGAGTTTTTGTTTTCAAAGAGCCCCCTGCAGCAGCATTTACCAGTGTTCTTGTGTTGGGTGTCATTCCTTGGAAAAAGATTCTTGCTTTCTCCCATACTTCAATTCCATGTTGAGGACACTTCCTGAGTAATCCTTTAAATCGGTCCCAAGCTTCGTACAGAGATTCGTTTTCTTTTTGTTCAAAAGCGATGATTTCTGATTTGAGCCTTGCCATCTTTGAAGTTGAGAGAAATCTGGCGAAAAATTTTCTTGCTAAGTCATCCCAACTGGTTATGCTTCCTTCAGGTTGAGACTGCAGCCAAGCTCTTGCATCATCCTTCAGTGAGCATGGAAATAGTCTGAGCAAGATAGCATCACGAGAAACTCCATTTACTTTTAATGTATCACAGTAAAGTAGAAAATCATCGAGATGACTGTAGGGATTCTCTGTGCTTACTCCAGCGAACTGCTCTTTTTGATTCAGTTTCAGCAGCGCCGTCTTCAGCTCGAAGTTGTTTGCTTCTATGGTTGGTCTAACAATGCTCGCCGTCTGTGGAACTCGGGATGGAGTCATATAATCTCCCAAGGTCCTTGGAGCGAGTTGATTGTTTTCTGCCTTTGCGTCCTTTCTAAGTTTCCTTTCGATCTTTTCTATCTCAGGATCAAACTGCAAGAATCGCGGGTTAAGAGTACTTCGCATAAACTAAAATTGAAAAGATGTGCAGAAAAAATATAAAATGCAAAACAAAAAATTTAAAAATAAAAATAACAAAGAATGCAGAAAATTAAAATATGCAAAAAATTGATGCAGAATTTTTTTTATGCAGAAAATATTTTTGAAAAATGTTTAAAGTGCAGATAAAAAAAGGTCCAATCTAAAAGGTAATTAGTTACTTCTAATGTTGAAGAATTCGATCCCCGGAAACGGCGCCAAAAACTTGTTGCAACTCTGCAAATGCACTGGTCGTAAAAGTAATAAAGTGTACTGAGTACGAGATCGTTCCCACGAGGATCGTAATTTCAAGCACTAGTTCGCTAATCGCATTTTAGTTGGACAATAAAGAATTTAGATGAAGAGAATTGTAATTGAAGAGTTTAAAAATTAAAGACAAGTAATGAGATGCAATTAAAGAAATTTTAGAATAAAAAAAAGACAAATGAAAGATGATTGATTAAGAATGTAAAATAAGCATAGTTAGGGTTTTGACTTCCCCCAATATCCTCGTTATGTTATGAATTAAAGAGTCAATCACCTTTTCTTAATATATTGCCAATCAATTCTATCTATGTTAATTAGGGCGCAATTTCTTGTTACCCTAAATCTATGTGATCTCAGAAGAACCCTAGTTCCCCGGTTATTCCCCAAGAAAACAGGCATTAAGATCAAGAATTCCAAGATTGGACAATTACCCTATGTCTATCCCTAGATCACAAGGATTATGATAAATTTACCAAGTCAAGGTTCATGCACCAACATCCTTATTGTCATACAATTCCACAAAATCATTCTATAAGGAGCAAACTCATAGAAAGCATTAAAGACAGATAAATGTATTCAATTATAAAAAGAAAAGAATTCAATAACAATTTAATTCATAAACATAAACGATTCAATTAGGTTTCATCTACCCCTAACTACATAAAAGACTAGCCTAGCATACTGAATTCAAAAACAATAGTAAAGAAAAGAGAATCCCAAGCCTTCATTGGTGTGATGTTGACTTGGTTCCTTAGTGTTCCAGCGCTCCGCAACAGGATTCCTCCTTCAGGTCTCTATGTAATTCTCTGGACTTGTGAATTGGTGATTGGTCTGACCCTCAGCTCCCTATTTATAATCTTCAAAGCCACATCCATCATTGCATCTCCCACCGTATTCGTATCAGATTCGTAATTGATTTTGTAAGTGTTTCCTTTTGCATTTAAGATCTTGTAGATTGGTGACAGATTTTTGACTTTGAATCTTGTTATAATCCTGCTTCAATCTTCCATGAATCTCTTTAAATCGGGGTACATATGTTTCTGCTTTAATTCCGGATATCAAAATCTGGTATCCTTTGGAAAATCTCAGCAAATCTTAGTAAATCTTTGTTGTCTGGAACGTGCTTGGGAGCTCAAGCGTGCTATTCGCCGCTTGAGCGTGCTAATGGGCTTCAAATTGTTGTTTCTGCCTGCCTGAGCGCGCTCGAGCATGCTAATCGGCGCTCGAGCGTGCTCTTCGAGGATAAATTCTTGTCTTCTTGGGCGCTTGAGCGTGCATCTGTGCGCTTGAGCATCCTGAATTGCCCAGTTTGGCTGTCTTCCCTGCTATGAAGCGCTCAAGCGTTCTCTTGTGCGCTTGAGCGTGCTCTTCTGGCTCTTAACTTGTAAGATTTTGGCTTCCCTTGGTCCATATTGAGCCGCTACTTCTTCGTCATGATTTCTTTAACACTTTTTAGCACCAATATTTGTGGTTTTACCTTCAAAATGCAAATAACATCAAAATGTCAGCTCAATTTCCTATCTTATGACTTTATATGTAACATCCCGTATAAATTAGAAAACTATTTACTTTGCAATTAGGAAGGTGACTGCATGTTTTGAAGTCGAATTACATGCATAAGTAGGGTGGAACTAATTTGAGTTAGGAAAATTATTTTAATTACAACCTATAAAAAATCCATTTAATGCTTGCTAGATTACATGAATTCATGATCCAATAGGAGATGGGACTTTGGTCCTAATGACCTTAAGTGGGCCACGGCCCCAAGCCCATGGAAGGCGTGCAATCAGCCCATCCACCTTGTATCATTTCATGCGCATGGTTGGGTAGGAAAAAATAAATAATAATAAATAAAATTCTGATTACATTCCTCAGCCTATGCATGCCATGTAGGTGGCAAATTAAACCCCTCCTATCTCCTTGCATGCACGCCACCTAAGTGTAAAAAGGAAACTTGGATCCTCATTTCCATGCATTGGCCAAGCTCTCTCCTAACCAAGAATTCACTTATCTTTTCTCTTGTGCGCATAACACTAGCAAAATGAATCTGACCTTGTGCCTTGTGAAAACCTCGCCAGTCTCACTTATCACTCTCATTTCCTTTGCGCGGTAGAGAGAACAAAACTGACCTCCACTTCTTCAACTCAGAATTCAATAGCGAGTCAGTCCTTAGTCTCCTCACACTCTCACCAAAACCGTGAGCCATCCCAAGAGGAATACCCAGAACTAACTCACATTCTTTTCCTCAAGACCGCAAGTCATCATTTCCCCCCTTGCGTGGCCGGACCTCAACACTCAAGGAGAGTGGAGCACAAGCTTACTTCCATTCCTTTCCTTCCTTGGCCAGCCGAGGACACCACCCAGGGGGTGAGGCATTTTCTGCTCCTCATTGTTCTACATAATTTAAATCGATGCTGAATGAATCTTTCACCCTTGCATGCAGCTATGAGTTCGAATTCTTGGAGAATGGATCAGGGAGGTTGCTGCCCCCAATTAAAGCGCTAACCTTTGATGCATTCATGGAGGTAAATCTGAGTTCTAAGCGTTCCTTTCTTTTCTCTATCTGTTCGGCCCGCATATGTAACAAGGAAGTTGTATTTTTGTCATTTCTTCCTTATTGATTCTACTCGGCTGCTGCATGTAGTTTAGGAGAATTATGAGTGGTCATTTTATTCCCTGTTTCTGCCCCTTGGTCCGCCTTAGAACTTAGTGCCTGTGAGCACAAAAACCCGGGCTAGGAGCTTGAAAAATAGCTCCCATGAATTTTGTTGAACTACACCTTGAATTAGAAAAATTAATTAGGTTCTGCATGTGTTGGATTTGTTGAAGGCAGCTTGCTAAAATATACTTGTTAATGCTTCGGAACCAATTTTGGGGATGGGAAAACAACCCTCATCATTGTAGGACTGTTTTATTGGCAGAGAATGATGTTTATGGCTTGGCATGCGTTAACTTAAGTGGGCAGCATGCTGAAATTTTAATTATTCATCATTAAGCGATATTGGTGGGTTGGTTAAAAGGAAATTATAAGCCTCTAGTTGACGAACCAAACTTTGAATGTGTTAAGACTATTCTGGACAGCATGTTAAAATCTCATTGTCGCCCCCTAAGTTATGTGGAACATGTTATGTAATTGAAAAGTTTAAGCTCATAGGTGATGGCTGTACAAATCAAATCTATATGCATAAGGAACCTTGGAATTATTTTGTCATTGTTAACAATTGGTAAAATGAACCCTATGGAAGAAAAAGTAAATTAGCTTAAGAACCTTGGTAATTATTTCGAATCAAGCCCTGCATGTGTCTCTAACCTTGTAGGCAGCGTGCCTTATGTTTCCCTAGCACACTCCAAACCTTATAGGTAATGTCATGTATACTATGTAAATGATTAATTGATAGCACTTGGCTGATGTTCAAAACCGAATATGCATATCTTGGAAGTCTTGATTTTATAAATTGGTAACATGTGTACAAATTAATATCAAATCAGAAAAATCATTCAGGATGAGAACCATGAGATTCGGCTAAAATCTTAAGAGTGACAGCATGAAAATTACATCTGACGTATGGGAAAAATAAAAAGAAATTCTGATTTGGTGTTTGATGAACCAGGTGCTAAGGTCTCTAGTCAAAGGACGTTGGACTGATTTGGGAATGTTTTGATTAGAAAGCTAAAGTATCAGGTATGTGTTAGGTGGTATTACCTGATGTGACTATTAACTAGTATATGAATTGTGAATTGTTGCTCACATGTTCCTTATGATTATTCTGCCATAATTGATGAATTATTCTGTCTATGGAAATGTTATGATTATGGAAATTCTGTTATGAAAATAAAGAATGGCTTGGCAGTATGGCATCCAATGTACATGAAGTATATGTTATGAAATGATGATATCTGCATGCACCGTACATCATACCGCACTTGTCTTTCTGTTTGTGTGTGACACCATAGCATGGCATGCATGTACCAAACTCATGTTAGTCTTGAGTCTTAGAATAGTTATCTACAGGATCATGTGATTGAGCACGCATCATATAGGCATCCCTTGATATCAGGGTACTGGGACAGTTGGCGTCAGTCCGCATAGGCCACAGTGGAATTCCCCAAATGATGGTGTCGTGCATGGAATTTCGACTGTGCATGCACGCGCACGACGGTGCTATGAGCGTGATGAAGGCGTTATATACGCAATATGATATATGATGAAAATGATATATGATGAAAAGGTTATATGATGAAAAGGATTTAATGTTTGAAGCGACTATTTATAATTTTGTGCCTAGTTTAATACTGTTACATTATTGGTTTTGTTGCCACACTACTGGGATTTTTCTCACCCCTTTGGGGCTGCTATTTTTATAAAATGGCAGGAGGACATAAAAGCTTTTGAGGACTTGGATATTTACTGTAGGTTTCTACTGTTGGGCATGCTGTTGTGATTGTATTAATTTCATGGATGACTGTACTAATTGTGGATGTTTAAATTATTAGTGAACTATGTTTGCATTCTGTTTTAAGACTTTTAAAAACAGCAAGTGTTTTGAAACGGATTTCAGAACCGTTTTTACGAAAACTGATTCAGTTAAAGCTGTTTGTGCGAGCATTTTGTAGGTTGGCGTCCCGGGGCTACGGATCTCTGATTTTCTTATAATTTATATGCACGCGTAGCCCCAGGTGTCTAGTTTCATTATATATAAACCTTTCAACGAAATTCTGAAAGCTCGATTTATTATGATTTTTGCAAGTCACGTCATTTGATATAAATTCGCTGATTTTAACTCTCGCCTTACGAGTTATGTTTCGAGGAGCAAACGACCTTTAAATTACTATTATTTTATATGAACGCGAAGCCCCGGATGTCTAGTTTCTAGATTACAAAGAATATTTTTTTGAATCGTTGAAGTGAATTTTATACGAATTTTTAAAGACAACAAAGTCTGTCAGGAAAGTTATATTTTCAGTAGTTGAGAAATTTTGAAAGTATACTCTGATTGTTGTGACGACCCCGATTTCAATTATAAGTTTTTAATTGGCATTGTAAAAGTGATTTTCAGTCTCTAAAATATGATTAAAGAACTCTAATCCGCTTAGCAAACAACTCTCTTGAATGCATACAAGGGAGGGTGTTCGCCAGACGGTTGGCCTCCAACACGTCCTAAATGGCCTTCCTGTTCGCCTCTCTGACGGCGTCCAGCATGGCCTGGTTTGCCATTCTCATGGCCTCCTGGTCGGCTTGTCGGGCCGCCTGCATCTCAGCCAATGCAGCCAGGACAGGATCAGGCCGATCCTTCGAAGTCTCGCGGTTTCTCCTGGGTTTTACCATGACTCTGCACAAGTTACACAAATTATAAGTTGATCAGGCCCACACAATGTGGTCACATATGCATTATCATAATAATACTCGACGGAGCAAACACACAAAACAGACACAACCAAACATCCTAATCATTGCAATACATAAAGGCTTTTTACTTGAACCGTTGCTCTGATACCATAAAATGTAACACCCCGTATATATCCGGTAGTGTTATCATTACATCGTATTAAGCGGTGCTTAATTAAAAATGCGGAATATTCTTTTTCTTTTCAATTATGACGTCATTATCAATTACCATCTTGATTACTTAATCAATTTCATAAAATATCGCCTATATGTAAATTGCAACAAGACATCTACTGAAATACCTCAATATATAAATAAAGTGTGTATCTAAAATCACGGATCTACAACTCGTAGTTCGGACAATATCCTGATACATTATTACAACTCCAAAAGACTCAAGACATAAACAAGACATAACAATACTATGTGTCACTGACAATCCCCATGCTCACCAAATAAACATAGTCTCAACAAGATAAACATAAATCTCCATAAGCATGATCTGAAGCTATAAGCAATAAACAGCATACAAATCCAGCATCCAACAGGTCAGCATAAATAACAGCAAATCTAACTCAGCTCCGGTCTCCTGCCGCCTGAGGTCTCAACATTACCTGACCCTGAAATAAGCATTCCCCAAACGTGGTGTGAGATCTCTAAACAAGAAATCTCAGTAAGACAAGGGGTCCTCAAGGATCTTCCACCCCAAGCTCACTTACATGTGCAATATAAGTTCTAAAAGCATTTATATCATTATCAGTTCCAAAACTATGTAGTGCAACAGATATCTATGGCATGTGTGTAATCACTATTCTACTGGCTAGAGAAATGTAGGAATATGTCTATCTCCTACATGTAGTACAAGGTACACCGCTTGCACCTCACCCACAGCCTCACCCTATTGTATGTTCTACATACTCAGGCTTACCGCATAGGTGGAACACCTCCATGCATATCAACAAGCCACTAACATACAATAGCTCAACAGCATTTCCAAAACATCAAAAGCATGTAACACAGCATGCAAATACCATACCCCCATGGGACATGGTGGAACCACAACATGGCTAAACCGAGGACATGAAAGCTTACCTCTAAGCTAGCTATCCAATGCCACAAGCTCAAAGTCCAATCACAGCATATCACAATCTGATATGGACCAAATATAAATCAATAAACATGTACCACATGCATACAAATTAAAGACAACGCCTTTTCATTACGTTTTATGTCTTAAAGCTTCTAACAAAGCCACAAGCCCTTAATCACATGATTCTGGCTTAGTCCATTAATCACTGAAGTTCAACTTCATCAATCTAGGATCCACAAACCCCCAATAGCTTACTGTACACACAACACAGCTACTGCTCTGCGAAATCCCAGAATATCCAGATATTCCTCGGGACCATATCTGGATATGCAATATCTGGATGTCTCATTGTCCATATCCGGATATGTAATATCCGGATATACAGATTCCCATATCCGGATATCCAATATCCAGATATCCCAAAACCCCATATCCGGATATCACATATCCGGATATCCAATATCCGGATATTCCACGGGAAGATATCCGGATATTTCACGACAGAATGCAGCAACTGCTTTTCGTGAAGATATCCTTCAAAGGTTGGGTTTTTACCGATTTTAAACACTTAAACAAGCATTTCTAGGTGTGTTAAGTATTACCCAACAACAAGTTATCATCTTTTAGCCTTAACATGCATCAAGCTTCCATTTTTAAGCCTTAAAACTCAAGTTAAAGGTTGGTGATCATACCACAACTCAAAACAGAGGATGGAGATGCTCTTGGAGCTCACCAACAGCCCCTCAACTACTGACCACACAGGGTGTGCGAAAATGGAAGACAAGCAAGGCTCTTCCTCACCAAAGGTGGCTCCTTGGACCTCAAAAATGAAGCACAAGGTTCACTCACTCCACCAACCCAAAGTTAGCCCCCAACACTCCCTCAAGCTGACCTCCTTACTCAGAAACAGCACCACAAACCTTTTCCCAAAGATGACTCTCCCTCACACAAGTGTTTAAGAGAAGCTTTCAAGGAAGAGAAAGCCTCAAAGCTCAAGAAATAGTGAAGAAAGGGATGAAACAGTGACACAATCAGACCAGCCACCAAATCCCATGAAGAAGAGGCAGTTTTCTCGGGCATTGTGCCCTTAGTAAGTGTATATATAGCCACTTAACCATTAAACACGCAGTATTAACTTTAATTGCTACGCTTAGCATTTTAATCCCAAACTTTGAAATACGAAACTACACATTTTTCCAAGAATTATCATATTTTTATTATATTTTTCTGAGCACCTTTCCGGTACGCGCTTTTCATAGCCAGTACCGGTTTCTAGCACCAGTTCTCATTATTTGGACTTGAAACTCGTTTTACAAGTCCTATATATTATTCTAGTAATTATCATGCACTTACATTAATTTTCCGGAATACGTTTTCGGTACGCATTTATACCGACTAGCAGAACCGGTATCTGCACTTTTCTTCCGAAAAGCGACTTTCAACATTCTTAATCACTTACCATAATTATTAAAGCCTTTTAATAATTATTAGGGTCAATTATGGAATCATTTCCTATTTTCACATAATTTATTAATTAAATATCTTAATTAACGGTGCGGGTTCTTACACCCTCCCTCATATGGCAACAAATACATCTCCTTGTTGCGGTTGATTACGCCTCCAATTGGGTTGAAGTTGTTTCCCTTCCCACTGACGATGCTCGGGTGGTCATTGCATTCTTAAAAATAAATATATTCGTTCGATATGGAGTACCAGGAGCAATTATAAGTGACGGAGGAACCCACTTTGACAACAGACAAATGGAATACGTACTGGCTAAATGCGGCGTGAAACATGAGATTGCAACACCATATCATCCGCAAACAAGTGGTCAAGTGGAGATTTCCAACCGAGAGTTGAAATGTATCTTGGAGAAGACAATGGGAAGCTCCAGAAAATATTGGTCCAAGAAGCTTGATGATGCACTGTGGGCATATCGGACTGCCTTTAAAACACCAATAGGTATGTCCCCCTTCCAATTACTGTTCGAAAAAGCTTGTCACTTACCGGTAGAATTGGACCACAAAGCACTGTGGGCAATCAAGTACTTGAACTTCGACTCCAAGACGGCAGTTGAGAAAAGATTGCTTCAACTGGATGAGCTCGACGAGTTCAAACTATCTGCGTACGAGAGTGCGAGTCTGTACAAAGAAAAGACGAAGAAGTGGCATGACAAGAAGATCCTGCCTCGAGACTTTAAAGTGGGGAATCAGGTATTACTCTTTAACTCTCGTCTTCGTCTCTTTCCTGGAAAACTAAAGTCTCGATGGTCGGGACCGTTCATCGTAAGGAACATGAAATCATATGGAGCAGTGGAGATCAGTCCGCTGGATTCCGATAGGAGCTTCACAGTGAATGGTCAACGGCTGAAACTATACATGGGAGGAGAAATAGACAGGGGAACAACCACTGTTGCCCTTATCGAGGTAACTTGAACGAGGTACGTCAGGCTCGTGACGTTAAACAAGCGCTGACGGGTAGGCAAACCCATGATTTACTGCTTTATTTTAAATTTTAGTTTATTTTGATTTCAAGAAAAAGATAAAAATAAGCAAAAAGAGAAAGATACATGAGACCAAGGTCATGGCTAAATTCAGGAAAGAAGAAACAAAGATTCAAGAGGCTAAGGTATGAATTTTTCCAAAATTTTCCAAGTTAAATTAAACAAATGTTCCTGCCTCAAAGCGTTTTGGCGCACATATGCACGCCAAAACGCTGAAGAAGTAAGCAAAAATAAGTTCGAAGAGCACGTTTTAGTGGCCTACTGGACGCCAAAACGTGCTAATAAGGGGAAATTAGGCAAATGCTCCCTGCCCTTAAGCGTTTTGGCACACATATGCACGCCAAAATGCTCTAGAGTGGCCAAAATAAGGATTCGAAGAACACGTTTTGGCGTGCTCCTGGGCGCCAAAACGTGCTCCCATGCTCAAAAGGGCCAGCTCCCGCCGTTAAGCGTTTTGGCGTGATATAAGCACGCTAAAACGCTCCCATGTTGTACCAATTTTAAAAAAGTTTTTTTTAAAAACCCTCCCCCCCTCATTCTGCACACACCCTAACAATTCTCTCATCTCCATCTGCACTCTCTCCATTCCCTGTTCCTTTTTGCAACAAATCAAGGTATGTTCCCAACTTTGTTCATCTTCTTCTTAAGTAAATAATGCCCTGAATGCAGATTTGATTAGGTAAATTCTTTCTCATTCCATGCCCTAACTATCACATTGCAATAGAATCTGTGAGAACTACACAAGGTTTCGATGGGTTGTAAATGTACTTAGGATTTAAAAGGGTTGAAATTATGAGTTATTCTTTTTGAAATCAAACCTCAATCAAAGCATGAATTTCTCTACTATGTAATTGTTTGACTGAATCACAAAATAAGGAGCATAGTTATATATCCACACCTGTTATGTTACACATTCAAAAGTATGCACACCAACTGTTTGACAAAAGGTTACATAGAATGTGCACAAAAGTATGCATACCAACTGTTTGACAAAATAAGTATGCACATTCAAAAGTATGCATAGTCATCTCTCAATTTTTTTGAATTTTTGACCATTGTAACCTTTCATTAGTAAAAAATTACCATCTTGTCCTCGTTTATAAACTATTTTAAAAATTTAACCTTTTCAACAAACATAACATCAATCTACTCCTGTTTGATCGTTGACCATTAAGATACCCAGGTATCTCCCTCCCTACCCGGGTATATCTCGCGAAATAAATTTGTTCTTACATATGTTGAATATTTACCCGAGTAAGTAAGGGGATACCCGGGTATGTAGTTATTTACCCGGGTAGGGAGGGGGATACCTGGGTACAGACTACCCGGGTACACCAGCATTCACATAACTTGGACAACAGGTTCTACATAACTTGACAGAGCATTCACATCAAGTTTTGATGAATCCATTGCCTTTCTTATCGCATTATTTGTCTTCATGTATTTACCTCTTGTGGCTCCGGCAGTCTTACGCTTGAAATCATGACCTTGTGCACCAAAGTTATCATTGGGTTTCCCAATATCTTTCCCCAGATAACTCGTGCTTGGCAGCTGTAGCTTCAGAACTCACATTTTCTACCAGGCATCCAAGTATCTCAGATTTAAGAACGGGTTTAGGTTCAATTACTGAATTTATTTGAGAATTTGGCAACTGTCCTCTCTGTAAAGAAAAGAAAATTAATAAAAATGATTAGGGAACAAGTTTTTAGGAAAAAAAAATTTGGAGTAGACTTAGCAGCCCTTTTTTTTGTTTTAGTGTTTTCCAGATTACCCGGGTATCTCTCTCCCTACTCGAGTAAATAATTCAAATATTTTTCCAGATTACGAACAATACCCGGGTATCCCCTCCCTACCCGGGTAAATAATTCAAGTATTTTTTCAAATTACGAACAATACCCGAATATTCCTTTGATTACCCAGGTAGGGTGAAATTTTCAAATTATACCTGGTATCCCCTGTCTACCCGGGTATGTTACGTAAACACGGCAGATGGATGGTATGTTTTGGTTGAAGGATGAATTACTAATTAATTATTAAATTAAGGTTACCTTGGTCAAAAAACCCAGTTTTTCCAATTTATTAACATGAAAGTTGAGTTGGAAAACCATATACCCTTTGTTTACACTGTTGTGCATGCTAGTCCGTGTGAGGAGGAAAGAGACACAATGTTGGAGAAGCTTCAGCAGATATGTCTGAATATTAGATAAGAAATGCATTACTTTTAAAATTCATTTACCCAAAGGAAATGGTTTTCAAGACTAATGTATCTTGTATTTAGCCCGTGTGCTTTCATTTGACGTGGTTTAGTGAATCTCGTTTGTACGTCCACCTAAAGAATAAAACACTTCAAAGCGAAAGAAAAACAACAAAAGAATAATCATTAAGTTAAAATATCTAACCCAGACTCGGCTTAAAGGCCGTTAACACTTTCTTTGTTAACTTGAAGAACACCTCTCGAATGATTTCAAACAATAAAAAATATTTTGTAAATTTATTAATTGAAGTTTTACTCTATATAATAGGAAGTGGTTTAAAACTCCTTTGACTTGTGCAATTTATCAACTGATGAATAACTATTTGGACCAAACTAATGAAACAACTAACAAACCTCTTTTAGTGCCCACTATCCATAATGCAACAGCCCATAACCGTTACAGATTTAGCCTTTTGTAAGTTAGCTAAACTTTTAGATTTGGGCTGAAATGGACTTTAGCTAAACACACCAACTATTTAAACTGAGCCTTTTTTATTTTTTTGGTTGAATGAACCTAAATTTTTGTGTGTGAACAAAACTATTAATAGAAGACAGTAACATTATAAACAAACAATCCGAGATGTGGTGGACAAGTGGAGATATTCAATAATTCAATAATATTTCTATATTGAGTTTAATTCAAGTTTCTGAAAAGCAGATTGTTAGTTCAACAAATCAACATCATAATCAATTAATTCAGCACACAAGTGGAGGATTCTGAAATGCAAATTACTGAAAAAGTCAGAGTCCGCCTTCAACATCACCCATTAAGTAAAATCAACATTCCCATGTTCTGATCTTATTAGCCGGCGGGACAATCAACGAGTAACGGCATTTGATTAAATCATTATTAATAAAAGTATGCTTTTAATGAATGAATAAAAATTAAAAAAATGAAAAATGTGTTTAACGAATAGAGTATACAAATGAAAATCCCAAGCAAAAATAAAAATAACTGTTCAAAATTGGATACCTTATGCATTAAGATTGCAGACACGTATACGATACTTTAGACTTTAGAGATAAATATTTCATATATATAGAGAGAGAGGCTTAAAAGTCAAACTACAAGCCTATTAGTGAAACTATGAAAGCTTAACACACGAAATTCATACACAGATCTAAAACAGCAAACATTAACTAATCATTAGGATAGTTGCTAACTGGGAACAACACACTCTCTCATGTCTTTATTTTTATTTTTTATTTTCAACCAAAGTGATGATGGTGCTTCTTTCCATGAGTCTCCTTATATTCTTTCTTGGCCTCTTTCCTTTCATGATGTTCATGGAGGGCAAATCCACCAGCTCCAACCGCGACTGCCGCTGCAATCTCCTCCTCTATCTTGTGCCTGTGGGCATGCTCTGGATCTTTCTTTGCTTTGTGCTTCTCATGCTAGAGTTAAAAAGGATTTAACAAAATCATCATCTTATGTGATAAATCTTACATTAAAAAATAAATGACAAAGAATTCACAAAATTAAAATGAAATAACAAACTATATAACAAAATATGTATGGACTCGGTTGCGAGGAAGTATAGATTTAAATAAAAAAGTCATAGATTCAAATCGTGGTAACAGAATCTTATGGTTAAAGAATTAAAGTTTAACCAACTCTATCCATATAATTATAGAAAGGTTAATGATATCAAAATGATAAATTTTTGCTAAAAAATTATATCAATTAGTCTCAGCAAACAATATATAACTATTGGACTATATATATTCCTGTCAAAAAATTTTAAGGGGACCAAATTAATTTGAAAACTTTTGATAACAAAAATGGAAATTTAATCTACAATGAGATTAACAAGTTTATAACAACATTAAAATATCTTTATTATGATTCATATTGAATGATTACTGATTTGTCTTGTAAATAAAATATATCTTACCAATGCAAAAGCACCAGCAGCAACTGCTCCCATTTCACCAAGGTGCTCCAGATTCTTGTGGTGCTTCTCTTCCTTTTTATAGTCAACTTGAGTTCCATCCTTGTGATGATGAGAGTGGTGGTGAGGGTGGTGATGGTGATGGTGATGGTGGTGCTCAGCCATGGTGGTTATGAGTGCAATGTGATCTCGAGGGTGGACAGAAAATATGTTTAGTTTTTTATGCTGTGGTGGTTTGTGTAGGGATATAAGCTATTTATATATAAGTGATTATACGATTAATTAGCTGTTAAGTTAAGGCAAAATAAAAGAGAGACAAAAAAAATACATTTCAAGCCGTGTTTGGAAATTCTCAAGAGTAGTTCAAGTTAGTAGGAAAGCGCGTCTGTGGTATATTTGAACTTTGAAGTCATACCGAGTCCAATATGAATTTTATTATATGTTCATTACCAACACGCAACTAACGACACGGCGAAGGATTTCCTCTTTCCATGATCCTATATTTCTTCTCTGATAAATAAATATTAAAAAGAAAGAAAGAAAGAAAGGGTAATTAGGGGAATGAGGGACTAGCAGCACATTAGCCACAGGTAGAAGAAAAAGCACCGCCGTGCTAGAACCACCGTCGGCGGTCAAGAACCTTAGCAACATCTTCATCGTTGACCACCGATGTCGCCATCACAAAATCAAGATGCTACTACTATACCAACAATAAAAATTGGTCCAAATTTGGCTGATTGAAGAAACTACATTTATTTTAAAAATTATTTATCAGTGTATATATTATACTTTGATTGAAGTTAACAATTTTCACTAGTCACACAAATATAACACGTCTTTTTTTCTTCTTCTTCGGAAAATACAAATATAACACATGTCAATCATATGATGATGACACGTATTACATTTATGAAATCCACATGTTCAAAACTTATCAAAGTAGAATAGAATGATAAACAGTTTTTATGTTAAGGATAGATTGATTATTCTCCCTCCAAATCTTCTTCCATCTTAAGTTATAATTCTCTCTAGCCACAAAAGACACCTCCCGGGATAAAAAAATTTCAAGAGGAAGGGAATTATAACATCTACGAAAAATACAAACAAGGAAAAATTTGTGGTGAGCAGGAATTATGTTGATAATATTATCAAATAATTTATAATTTTGTTTTAATTATGTGATTGTATAATAATTATGTGATTGTATTATTAAAAAAGCACTAAATGATGGTGATAAAGTGAAGAGTTGTTAAATAATTTTGAAGGAAAAAAATGTCCAAATTGGAGAAATATCAATTGAAAACATCAAATGACAATGACAAGGTGATTAGTTGCGAAAATAACAATAAAACAACATCATTAAAAATACCAAATAGTGGTAACAAGGTGATTAGTTGTAGAATTAATAATGAAGCAATATCATTGAAAAAAAAGGAATAGTTGTAAAGTTAATAATAAGGAAAAAGGATCCAAGAGTGGTGATAGTATCAATGTCTCGTTGTCTATAGGAAGAATGCATATAAATAAGTGACATTCTAGTAGAAGTTGGAAACAAAAAGGAATTAAGAGAATGAAAAGAAAATGGTAAGGATTAGTTGTAAAGTTAATAATAACGATAAAAGATTTAAGAGTGGTGGTAGTATCAATGTCTCGTTGTCTAAGGGAAGAATGCATATAAATAAGTGATGTTTTAGTAGAATTTGGAAACGGAAAAAATAGCCTTTTTGCGACGGGCATTTTCCGTCGCAAAACTGGCAATTTCAGACACAAACATCATTTGCGACGAAAAAAAGCCGTTGATAAAAACCTCATCGCAAACAAATTTTCCGACGACATTTTCTTGTTATGAATTCCATTGCAAATTGCGATCGAAAAAACTCGTTATAAAAAACTTATTATCCTTCGCAAAATGCTCACATGAATAATGAGAACACCGTCACAAATTGCAACGGAATTCCCGTCGCAAATTATCCGTCACAAACAAAATGGAAAAAGAATCCATCGCAAAGTTTTTGATGGAAATATATTACCACTCCGTCGCAAATTTGCGATAGAATTTTTGAAAATCCCATCGCAAAATTTAGACGTAATGAAAATCCTGTCGCAAGAAACCATAAGAATTTGTGACGAAAATGTATTATAATCTCGTCACAAAATTCGGTCCACAAATATACAATGTCTAATACAAAAACCGTCCCAAATTTGTGACGGAATAGTGAAAAATACCATCGCAAATTTTGCAATGGAATGTGAATACCTACGCAATAATCTGCAGAAATTGCGATGAAATGTCCATGAATTTCCGTCGCAAAATTATGAAAATTAAAAAAAATATATTTAAATTAATTTATTTTCAAACCTGTAAACAGTACAACCATAACAACAATACTTATATGTCTCATTGAAACAAAATAACTAACAAATTATAATCCCATACAAACCAACACTATAATCCCATACAAACTAACATTATAATCTCATACAATTAGAAAAATGTATCGATAAAGGTAGTCATAAACAAAAGTTTCGAATACATTATGAAGTATGGGTGTGGGATGGGGATGAGGAGTCTTGTAACACCCCGTGTATACCCGGTTTGTTAACATGTCATCGTATTAAGCCATGCTTAATAAAAATTGCGGAATATCTTTTTCTTTTCAATTATGACGTCATTATCCTTACCAAGTTGAATTACTTAATTCATTTCAAAACATTGCTTGTATGTAAATTGCAAAAGACAGCTAACTGAAATAGCTCAATATAAAATTAACATCTATATGTCTCTAGTCACGGAACTACAACACGTAGACCGGACAATCCTAATAGTTTATACAACGCAAACAAACTTAAACATCGTCAAATCAATGTGGCATGGACAATCCCCATGCTCACCAAATAAACAACATACTCATCAAGCCTCAATACAAACAGCATGGTAATGGTAAAAGCATAAAACCAAGCAGGTGCATCAACATAAACAGCAAGCATGGTAATCAACTAAGTTCCGGCCTCCTGCCGCTAGAGGTCTCGGCCCCTGGGTTACCTGAACCTGAAATAAGCGCCCCCGAACGTGGGGTGAGATCTCTAAACAGAAATCTCAGTAAGGCAAGGGGTCCTCAAGGATCTTCCACCCCAAGCTCACTTACATGTGCAATATAAGTTCTAAAACAGTTCAACAGTATAAGTTCTAAAATAGTGCAATGTAGCAGATAATCATATCATGTGTGTCAATACTAATATACTGGCCAGAAAATGCAGGAATACGTCTTTTACCCACACTAGTGCAAGACGCCACTTGCACTCACCCACGGTGTTACCGTCTTGCATGACGCCACATACTCAGGCTAACCGTCGAAGTGGAACAACACATACATATTAAAAGCCATTGCACATAAAGTTCAACAACATTTTCTATAATCAAAGCATGTAAACACAGCATGCATATAAACCATTCCCCCATGGGGTATAGTGGAACCACACAATGGCTAAACCGAGAACACTAAAGCTTACCTTGCAAGCTAACTATCCAATGCCAAGAGTCCAACCAATCTCAAAGCCCAAACACAGTAGAATCACAATCTGTTTTGGACCAACAATCATATCAATATACAACATACAAGCATATGACATAAAGACAACGTCTTTCCTTTACTTTTCACGTCTTAAGGCTTCTCACAAAGCCACAAGCCCTTAATCACTTGATTCATACTTAGATTAATCATTACAGAAGTCCTACTTCATCAAACTAGGGTCCAAAAACCATAACGACATTCTGAATGAACAGTGCAGCTACTGTTCTTCGAAAACCCAGAATATCCGGATATTCGTCGGGGGCATATGCGGATATCAATATCCGGATATTGCCAGATATCCGGATATTCAGAACCCCATATCCGGATATTTCTAACCCAATATCCGGATATTTGGCGGAAGAACTCAGATTCTGCATTTTGCGAGATATCAATCCAAAGGTTCCATTTTTACCGACTACAGAAGCTTAAACATTCATTTCTAGGTGTGTTTAACTTTACCCAACCTTATGTTATGATCTTTAGCTTGTTACATGAATCAAGGTTCCATTTTTAACCATTAAACTCATGATCAAAGGTGATGAAGCTTACCCAAGCTCAAAACTCAGAAAAGGTTGCTCTTGGAGCTCACCAAACCACTTCAAAGATTCTGACTTTGAAGGAAAACGAAAATGGCCACAATACAAGGTCCTTTCCCAACAAGGATGACTCCTTGAAGCCACACAAGCCAAGAACAAGACTCCAAAACACCCAAACCAACAAGTCAGCAGTCAAACCTCCCTCACACTGACCCTCTAGCTCAGAAATCTCTCCCTCTATAAGTTCCCAAGGCTAGAATGCACTCACCCATGGAGTTTTTGTGAAGAAAAGAGGGGAAAAGCTACTTGGAAGGTCAAGCAAAGATGGAGAAGAGAAGGCAGCAGCAAACCCACACAAAACCCACGTAGAGAGGCTGATTATGGCCTAGGGTTTTGTGCAAAGTTTATATATATAGGCAGTTAAGACTTAAGCACACAGTAAAAGCGTTAATTGCTACGCTTAGCATTTTAATCTCAAACTTAGGATTCTAAACCTACTCATTTTTCTAAGATTTGTAATATTTTTATTTTATTTTTCGCAGCACCTTTTCGGTATGCGCTTTTCCCATAGCCAGTATCAGTTCTGGCACCAATTCTCATTATTTTAACTTGAAACTTGTTTTACAAGTCCTATATATTATTCTAGTGACATATACACACTTTTTATAATTTTCCAGGATACTTCATCGGTACGCATTTATACCTAGTAGCAAAACGGGTATCTGCACTTTTCGTCAGAAAATCGACTTTCAGCTTTAATAAACACTTACCATAATTATTTAAGCCTTATAATAATTATTATGGTCAATTATAGAATTATTTCCTAATTTCTCATAATTAATTAATTAACTTCCTTAATTAACGGTGCGGGTTCTTACAAGTCTACAGTTTTCTTCTTCTTCATCATCTTTTTCTGCTTCTTCTTCTCCATTTTGTTCAGTAATTTTTGGAACAGATTATCCGTCTTTTTCTGTTTCTCCTTTCGTTGCTTTAGCTCGGTGTCCATTCTGTCCCTTTCTTGCCTTAACTCGGTGTCCATTTTTTCCATAGTAGTTAATTGCGTCGCAATAGCGCCGCGAGCCGCGCCGTATAGGCATTGCGGTGCCTCACCACAAGAAACCGTGCCGCGCTAGATCGGAACACAATAGCGGCCATTGCTATCGCATTTGCAACCATATTGCTGTCATAAGGCAAAATGTCAATTTTGTCCTAAATTTAAATGTGTAACAGAAAAAATTAAAGGGTTTTTTTGGTCTATCCGTGTCTCTCTCTTTCACTTCTGCTATCTCTGCCTTTAAAAAATATTTCTTTTGTCATTATTTCTGTCATATATCTATTCTGCTATTTCCGCAATCGCAACCCGCTATAACGCTTTAGCGTTTTTTGGGATTGGCCGCGACGTACCGTAATCCACATTTGATAACTATGATTTTTTCCCTTTGCTCTTTTTGCTGCTACAATTCGGCCTCCAATTTAGCAGTCACTGCTCGTATTCTGGCGATCTCATCTGCAATAATAAGAACATATGCTTAGGTCAATTGTTTTGTACTTAATTTAAATGTACTAGGGAGTCAAATTTTGAAACAATTAACTATAAATGCCTTTACCTTCGGAAACACTTGGAAGTTGTCTGGAGGGACACTTGGTACTCTTCAAGCTGCTAGCAGATGCTCCCAGGCCAAAAATTCTTCCTTTTTTATTTAATAGCTCAGTCGCCTTAATGAAGAGTTCATTGCTATCGACCTGAGAGGAGGCGGTTTCATCATTTGTCACATGTGCTTCTGTCTCCTCCTGGAGCTTTTGGAATCCCTCCTACAAGCCCAAAAAAAAAAATGTTAATAACCATGAAGTGAAAAAAATGCTAATAAATCAAACAAAAACGATGTAATTAATAACTCACCGTTATTTGTCTGGATTTGTTGTTAATCCACCGTCGAGTCCCTACTTCAGACTCTTGTGTGTGGGTCCTTTGAAATGTAACAAACTCAACCTGATGAGGGGGCACCTCCCCAGAAGCTTGCTACAAATAAAAATTGGCATCATTGATTAATTACAAGTGCAAAATATAGAATTTAAGAGATAAAAAATAATGCTCACTTACAATTCTTCTCCTATGCTCGGAGTACGAAATGCAGCCACCAGCATAAGTGTCTTCTTCCATGTGCGCCCTATTTTGCTTGTTTCGGGCGGACCTCGCCTCAAAGCACTATCTACGGCCCAGTTTTCCAACAATTGACGCTTAGCTTCAGAAATGCACCAAGAGATATCACCCTTGTCATGCCTCGAATTGTGCATTTTGTTAGCATACCATTTGCCAACCTTATGTTTGAAAGAGGCTATCAAATCGGCACGGTGTTCGAGCAACCAACTGAAGTTACCCCGCAAATTTTCCAAGGGAGAAGCGATTAGTGCACATTATCATGTACGGGATTAATTTAGAATGCATGTTGATAAAAAATGGTACAGTATCCAGAATATAGGAAAACTTACCAAGAAAGAATCACGCCAAGCTTCTTTTTGGTTGTTTGGAACATCTTTTCAACAACCCCATGTGTGGGTGTAATTTCGAAAAATCATATTTAGCAGGTATTTGTTGGGGGGTTTATGTGGGTAGAACCTGATAATAAAAATAAATCAAAATATTATCATACAAACAAAAGGGTTAAAATTAAATAAATTAGTACCTCATTGTAACAAAGAAAACTTACTCGGTTCTCCCTTACAGACGAATCCAGACCTTTTTGGTGATGGCATCAACTGATCCCCACAGTGGCTCCTCGGCAAAAGATCTCCCACACAAGAGGAAGGGGACGGATCCTGCAAAAGTCAAATAAGTTATCCATTCAAACAGTTAGTGTAAGAACCTGCACCGTTAATTAAAGAAATTAATTAAATAAATATGAAAATTAAGAAATAATTCCATAATTGACCCTAATAATTATGAGAATACTTAAATAATTATAGTAAGTGTGTTTAAGAATGCTGAAAGTCGTTTTTCTGACGAAAAGTGCAGATACCGGTTCTGCTCCACGATATAAGTGCAAAAATTATGAAAAGTAAGTATATGTCATTAGAATAATAAATACGACTGTCATAACAAGTCTCAAGTCAAAATAATGAGAACTGGTGCCATAACTGATACTGGCTATATAAAAGCGCGTACCGGAAAGGTGCTGCGAAAAATAAAATAAAAATATGACAAATCTTAGAAAAATGAGTAGGTTCAGAATTCTAAGTTTGGGATTAAAATGCTAAGCGTAGCTATTATTGCTTATACAATGTGATTAATCTTAAACTGCCTATAAATAGAAGGTTGCACACAACCCGAGGCAGATACTCAGCCATTTCTACGTGGGTTGCTTCTTGTGGCTGCTGCCATTGTCTTCCTCCACCATTTCTTGACCTTCCAAGGGGCTTTTCTTCTTACTTCCTTCACCAAACCTCCTTGTGTGTGTGAGATAAAGCATTAGGAGTGGGTGGGAGAGGGTGGGAGACCTTGTTGCTGAGTTTGGGTCTCTGTTTTGAGGAGTTTAAAGGGCTGAGTTCATGAACATTGTTGAGGGAGCTCTTGTTCTAGCATTTTGACCTCCAAGGAGTGATCTTTGGTGAGAAAGAACCAACCTTTGATCATCATTTTCGTGCATAGTGAAGTCAGAACCTTGGGAGCTACATTGTGAGCTCCAAGAGCTGTCCTTTTCTGTTTTGAACCTTTGGGGTAAGTTGTTGAACCTTGATCATGAGTTTTCATTGTTTAAAGGTTGAGTCTTGGCATGTTAATGAGTTAAATAAGTAACCAGCGTGATAACTGACCTAAAAGGGTTTAAAGATGCATGTTTGGACGTTTTAATGGGTTAAAAACCGAACCTTTGGAGTGATATCTCGCGAAATGCAGAAACTGCATTCTGTCGCAAAATATCCGAATATGATATCCGGATATTGATATGCGGATATGGGGTCTTGTGATATCCAGATATGGATATCCGGATATAACCCTGACATATATCCGAATATTCTGGGTTTCCGAGAACAATAACGGTACTGTTCATACAGAATGACATTTTGGGTTGTGGACCCATGATTGGCCAATGTGGACGTCTGTAATAATTAAACTAAGTCAGAATCAAAGGGATTAAGGGCTTGAGGCTTTGTGAGAAGCCTAAAGACATGAAACGTAAAGGAAAGGCGTTGTCTTTATGTCTTATGCTTGTAGAGTATAAATATTGATGTGATTATTGATCTAAAACAGATTGTGCTCTTGCTGTTTGTGGACTTTGAGCTTGTGTGGACTCTTGGCTTGGATAGTTAGCTTGCAAGGTAAGCTTTTGTGTCCTCGGTTTAGCCATTGTTGGTTCCACCATATCCCATGGGGGGATGGTTTATATGCATGATGTGTTTTCATGTATTGTTGAAATGCTATTGAGCTGTTAAGTGCAAATGCCTTATGATATGTATGTGGTGTTTGCCTAGACGGGATGTGATCATGTGGTCAGGTACGACATGGGCGCGTACTATGTGGGTAATAGACGTATTCCTGCATCTCTCTTGAAAGTAGATTAGTTATAACATACAATGCATGATTATTTGCTGCATTGCACTGGTTTTGGAACTTATACTGTTAAACTGCTTTTAGAACTTATATTGCACATGTAAGTGAGCTTGGGGTGGAGAAATCCTTGAGGATCCCTTGTCTTACTGAGATTTCTATTTAGAGATCTCACCCCACGTTTGGGGCACCATTTTCAGGTTCAGGTAACTCTGGGGTTGAGACCTCGGGCGACAGGAGGCCGAAGCTGAGTTAGATATTTGTTGTTATGATGATATGTTGGATGCTGACATGTTATTTATTTGTTATTATGTTGTTTGATTTGAGACTCTGTTGGGCTTTGTTGCCTTATTTGGTGAGCATGGGGGTTGTCCATGCCACATTGATTGACTATGTCTTATTTGGATTCGAGTTGTATTAATGTATCAGGATTATGTCCGGATTACGTGTTGTAGATCCGCGACTTAGATACTCACATATTTATACTATAAGATTATTCAGTGTAGATAGCTGTCTATTTGCAATTTACATACAGGCAATGTTTTTAAAAGGATTAAGTAATCAACTTGGTAATTGATAATGACGTCATAATTGAAAAGAAAAAGTTATTCCGCATTTTTAACTAAGAGTGGCTTAATACGATGACATGTTAACAAACCGGGTATACACAGGGTGTTACAGTTAGTGTCAAAAATTATAAATGAAACATTAATATTTAACTTATTCAAATTGAAGTTAGTTTTAACCTGCTCTGGCACGCCCAAAATGTAGGAGGAGTGGGAGGAAGACCACTGGGACCCATATTGGAGTCGGTAGTAGAGGGGGAGGATGATAAGCGTGTGGGAGGCATCACAGGCTCTATCCTATCTCCTTTGCCGATGATGATAAGACGGCCATGTCCTCTACTGCATGCACCAGTGCCATCTGGCTAAGAATGCTCCATCTGCAAAGCTTTATAAAAATAATGTTTGAATATGTATAAAATAATACACAATACCCAACTATAAACAAGTTACTAATGAGAATTATTATAAATAATCAAAGCGCAATGAAATGTAGGGAACAACAATCTCAATAAAGTTTACAAGTCAAGGAAAATTGATATATGTCTTTAGTATAACAAACATCAATAAACAAATATTAGAGAGTGATCAGTCAGATGATTCACATTCTTCTACTTTTTCTTGTTCGCCTTCCTCTGGAGTCTCATATTCGTCCAATTCAGGTTCACTATCTAAATAAGTCTCTTATTCGTCAACATCTGATTCCTCATTCCCCACATGGATAGGAATCATGTCTAACTCTGCAACAGAATCAAAGAGATTGATTGGCACATCATCCGCTATAATGTTTACGGGCAATAAATCTTCCACATTAGCTTAGAATGGTTCAGATATTTCATTTGTTTGTGACTCTTTGGACTCCGGGATACCATTTCGAGCTTTGGTTTTGATAATTGCCATCCACCCTTGTGGGGCTGTAGGGTATGATGTATAATAAACTTGTTCGGCCTGATGAGCAAGTATGAATGGGTTATATCCCACTGTATATCTCCTTGACTAATGAACCTCAAAGTTACTATATTTATCAACTTTTGTCCTGCGTGGAGTGTTATCAAACCAGTCACACTTAAACAAAGTCACCTTCTTTTCCCCTCTGTAATCCAATTGAATTATGTCAACTAGCTTCCCATAGTAGTCGTCCTCAGTACCGTCGACCAGGCCACCTTGAACAGATACACCGTAGTTACAACATGATGTATTTGCATTTGCTTCTACGGTTGCAAACCTGTACCTGTTGATGATATATTTTATGAGCCGTGTGACAATTCTTGCAGCTCCGTCAGCTAAACTCCATGCAACATCATGTGCAGCTGATGTGTTCACAACGAAGTGCTCTCGAAACCATTTAGGAAACCGAGAAGAAATGAATTGATCAAGTTCAGAATTTGGCCAGCTGGAATTATTGGATTGGACCCATTTGGAGAAGCAACTGTAACAAAAAAAAATGATCATTATGACATCCCCTCTTAACCACATACAGTTCTAATATTTGGCACCAATCTAAAAACAAATAAAATTTCACTCAATGTACGGAGCAGCCTCTTAACAGTTGTTTAGAATGTACCACTCCGCTACTTGCTTATCCCTTCCTTGAAGAATTGACTTACTTATCCTTCCGACAAGACATCCTGGATAATTAAATATTGATATTTGACCACTCGTATCACCGCCATCATCGTTTCAAGGGGCTCCTCTCCATCTTGATATGTATTGAGGGGGATAATAATATGATGCAAATTTACTTTCCTCTTCGATTAGATACTTTTCAGCAATTGAACCTTCAACGTAATTTTGAGTGCTGATCTTATCCTTTAGTGTTTTTAAAAATCTACAAGCACAAGAATTGGCTACTGTTATAAAATATAGCATTATGTGGCTCAATTAAACGTATAAAAAAGAATCTTACATCTTGAACAGATACATCCATCTATATTGTTGCGGACCTCCAACCCTTGCCTCGTAAGCCAAGTGAACAAGCAAATGTTCCATTGAGTCAAAAAGGGTCAGAGGAAATATCATCTCCAACTTGCATAGCATTATTGGCACGCTTGCCTC